CCCCACGACGAGCCGCGCGTCACATGACGAGCCCCCACCAGGGTTTTATATTGTGGTCCGGCCGCTCCCATGATGCACCGGTGTGTGCCTCTCTTTCGCAGCCAATCGCTTTGTGGAGGGGCGGGGCGGGCCACGCCCCCAGCCCCACCTCCATCCCGCTGAACCACCCCTGACCTCCAAAAAAGGGGCGTTTCACCTCTGGGTTCCTCTCCTTCACCCCTTTCACCCAACAAATTGGCTCTGTTGGCCTGTCATCCTGTTCCCTGGAAATGATTCTCCCCTTTTTCTTTTTTTTTTTTTTGAGTCGGAGTCTCACTCTGTCGCCCAGGCTGGAGAGCAGTGACACGCTCACGGCCACCGCAGCCTCGACCTACTGGGTTCTGGCGATCCCTCCGCCTCAGCTTTCCAAGGAGCTGGAATTACAGGCGTGCGCCACCACACTGGGCTGATTTTGTTTTTTAATTGTAAAGATGAGGTCTTGCCACGTTGCCCAGGCTGATCTTGAACTCCTGGGCTCAGGTAATCCTCTTGCCACGGCCTCCCAAAGTGCTAGGATTACAAGCGTGAGCCACCACGCCCAGCCATCCCCATTTTCTTTTATTCCTTTTTGGTTTTTTTTGAGTCAGGGTTTTCTTATGTCGCCCAGGCTGGAGTTCAGTGGCATAATCACAGCTCAGCACAGATTCAGCCTTGACCTCCTGAGCTCAAGCAGTCCTCCCGCCACAGCCTCTCGAGTAATTGGAACTATAGTTGCACACCACCACGCACTCTACTTTTCTGATTTTTTTTTTCCGTAGAGATGCAGTCTTATGTTGCATAGGCTGGTCTCAAACTCCTGGGCTCAAAAGATCTTCCGCCTTGGCCTCCCAAAGTGTTGGGATTATAGGCATGAGCAACGGCTCCCAGCCTTTTCTTGAACTCCTGGACTCATGCAGTCCTCCCACCTCCGCCTCCCAAAGTATTGAGATTACAAGCGTGAGCCACCACGCCTGGCCTCTCCCCATTTTCAGGGGTCAGCAAACTTTTCCTGCAAGTGGCCAGGTAGTAGATGCTTTGGGATTTGCAGGTCACAAGGGCTTAATTCTGCAACTACTCAACTCTATTGGTGTATGGTGAATTTAGCCATAGACGACATCAAATCAATGAGCCTAGTTGTATTTCAACATTTTAAAAATGTATTTATTTATTCATATATTTTTTGAGTTGGAGTCTCACTCTGTCGCCTAGGCTGCAGTGCAGTGGCATGCTCAAGGTTACCATAGCCTCATCCTGCTGGCATCAGGCGATCCTTCTGCTCCAGCCTTCCAAGTAGAGGGAACCACAGGTGTGCATCACCATGCCCGCCTAATTTTTTGATGTATTGTACAGATGAGGTCTCACCAAGTTGCCCAGGCTGGTCTCGAACCCCTGGGTTTAGGCAATCCTCTTGCCTCTACCTCCCAAAGTGCTGAAATGATAGGCATGAGTCACTACACCCACCTAACGTTTTATTTATAGATGTTTAAATTTCATATAATTTTTGCCTGTCACAGAATTATTCTTTTGATTTTTTCCAGCCATTAAAAAATATAAAAACCATTCTAGCTCACAGGCCTGACAAAAGAGGGCAGTGGGCCAGAACTGGCTGCAGCCTATAGTTTACAGACCCTGGTTCTAGACAGGTAAACTGGCCAGGTACGATGGCTCACACCTATAATCCCAGCACTTTGGAAGGCCCAGGCAGGAGAATCGCTTGAGGCCAGGAGTTTGACACCCACTTGGGCAATGCAGGGAGACCCTCTCTCTACCAAAAAAACAAAAAAAAAAAAAAAAAAGAACACAAAGACGGGTAGACTGATAGTTTAGCAACCAGAGCTGCTGTTCACACATCAAAATAGACATAGGCAGGATCAGAAGTGTGAGACCCTGATTCCAAGGTGGCAGGTGTAGTCAGAGAGCTGAGACTTCATTATTTTTCTTGGTCCAGTGACAGAGAGAAATGGCCCCTGGGGTTGCAAGACCAGGAAGTAGGGCTAAGCCCTGGAGGGAAGAGACGTGGGTGGCTGGCAGTGCTGGAGCAAAAGTCCCAGGGAAGGGTCCACTCCCTCTCAGGGTGGGAGCTAGGACAGATGCAGGCGTAAGATCTCCTCTGCCCGCTTCAGATACTCAGCGGCCTTCCTCTTCACACCCTCCCGGCGGGCAGGTGACGGGTCACCTACAGAGAAAAACGGGCTCAGCTGACGTCCACGGCCCGGCGACCTCCGGAAACCCCATGGGCATAGTCCCTTACAGTTCAAAGACTGCCTTTCTCGGGCCGGGCTGAGCCTGTAATCCCAGCACTTTGAGAGGCCTAGGTGAGTGGATTGCCTGAGCCCGCGGGTTCGAGACCCGCCGGGGCAACTTGGCAAGACCTCATCTCTACAATAAATCAAAAATTAGCCGGGCGTGGTAGCGCGCGCCTGTAGTTCCAGCTACTCGGAAGGCTGAGGCGGAAGGATCGCCGGAGCCCAGCAGGTCGAGGCTGCGGTGGCTGGGAGCGGCCACTGCACTCTAGTCTGGGCGACAGAGTGAGACTCCAACTCCAAAAAAAAAAAGTGCCTTTTTCTGTCCCCTGAGACCTGGGGTCGAGTCTCCCCATTCTGCAGAAGAGAAAACTGAGACCACAAGAGAAGGAAAAAACACTGCCAGATGACCAGCTGGCCGGTGAGGAGCGAGGGCTCCCTGATTTAGGAGTCGCTCGTTTCGGGCTGCCTTCCTCGCCCTGGCCCTCTCTGGGACGCGGCCCGACCCCCACCCTGCAGTCTCCACTCACCGGGCACTCCCTCAAGAAGCAGGTGCACACCATCTCGGTAGCCCTGGAGGGCAGCAGGGTAGGCACCCGCCTTCTCGTCCCGCAGGGCCTGGGTGATGACTGCTGTGGCCTGGCTCAGATAGGCAGGGGCGGGCCGTCGCTCCTCGTCCTCTTCCTCCTCCTGCCCTCCTGGCTCCCAGGGTTCCCGGTCCAGCCTTTCTGCCGCCACCTCCATTGCCGCCAGCTCACCCACGTGGGGAGGGCTGGGGGCTGCGCCTTCTGCCATCACACAGGACTCAGGCCACACTGGCCCTTCCTTTCCCCGGGCCCACTGCCCACACCCCAGACCTCTCTTGCCCATCAGGGTATTAACCTGTCCTTGGCGGTGGCAAGCAATGCCTGGACAATCCAGAAGTAACCTATGGATAGCAAACTAGCTGTGGTCGATTTGACATAAATATTTGAATAGAAAAAAGAAAATCAGCCAGGCCAGGTGTAGTGGCTCACACCCTAATCCTAGCACTTTGGGAGGCCAAGGTGAGAGGAGTGCCTGAGCCCAGGGGCTCGAGACCAGCCTGGGCAACTTGGCGAAACGTCATCTCTACATTAAAAAAAGAAAAAATGAGCTGGGTGTGGTGGTGTGCACCTGTGATTCTAGCTACTTGGAAGGCTCAGGCGGAAGGATCACCTGAGCCCAGCAGGTCAAGGCTGCGGTGGCCATGTGCGTGTCACTGCACTCCAGACTGGGCAACAGAGTGAGGTTCCAACTCAAAAAAAAAATTGACCAGGAGTTCGAGACCAGTCTGCAACATAGCAAGACCTCATCTCTACAAAAAAATCAAACATTTGCCAGGCATGGTGGTGCGTGCCTGCAGTCCCCACTAGCCGGGAAGCTAAGGAGGGAGGAGTTTGAGGCTGCAGTGAGCTGTGATCCTGCCACTGCCTTCTAGCCTGGGTGACAGAGACCCTGACTCAAAGAAGGAGAGTAAAGAGAGAAAGAGGAGTTCCTGCCCAGGCAAATGTCCACCGGGTACCCAGGGGCCCAGCTGGGACAATGCCTCCCACCCAGAGGCCAGATACAACTGCCCCACACCACACCTGCCTTCCTTCCATTCCCCTCCTCGCCCTGCTCATCCGGGAAGTGGAAGGACCAGGGAGGGGAAGCAGCAGAAACAAGAAAAGTGAGAAGACTCTTCACGCCCTTGTTGTCCGGGGGCAGAGGGCTGGGCCGCCGGTCACACCTGAGCCAGGTGGAGGGGTGAGGCTGAAGACATTCCGGGACACTGCGGTCCTGATTTGGAATGAACTCGACTCAAATGTCTGAAGTTGACCAGAAAGCTAAGGGTCTGCCCAGGAGGTCGCCAGAGGGCAGAGGGAAGCCAACGAAATGGGCAAAAAACACTATTAAGGAAATCAAGATGGAAACTGTGAGATCAGCCACTCAACACCCCTGCTGCAGTGACATCAAACGTGGCAAAGTTTATTTTATTTTACTATGATTATTTTTTGAGTCGGGGTCTTGCTCTGTTGCCCAGGCTGGAATGCAGAGGCATGATCACGGCTCACCACAGCCTCGACCTGTTGGGCTCAGGAGATCCTCTCGCCTCAGCCTCCCAAGTACTTGGAACTACAGGCACATGCCACCACCCCTGGCTTGTTTTTTGACTTTGTAGGAACGAGGTCTGGCTATGTCCAGTAGGCTGGCCTCAAATTCCTGGGCTCAAGCAATCCTCCCGCCTCGGGCTTGAAGTTCTGGGATTACCGGCATGAGCCACCGCCCCCGGCCAGAAACCTGGCAAATGGAAAACTCCAGCGCCTCAGAGCTGGGGACTGTCAGGTCTTGTGATCACGGATCAAGAAAGCACTCAGGACCCTGATCTCTACAGGGTAGACCTCGTGTCTTGGGCATTCCCGCATGTCAAGCAGCTGCTTCAGAACCCCAGAGAGGCTGTGGCTCTTTGAGCCTGGACCTCACCCACTGCCCAGCAGGGCCTCTCCTGCCATCAGGATCTGCAGCCAGACCCTGAGCCAGCCAAGAAGCCCCCCCTCGGGCTGGCAGCATAAGGAAATGAAGCTTTCTGAGCAGTGTGGCCCCGCTCTGTGCAAAGCTTTCTCAAAGACCAGAACCCACCATGGGAAATGGCGCGTCTCCTTGCTTTGTGGTTTGCTCAGGTACAAGGGCGTCCAACACACCAAGCCACGAGCCCTGGCTTTGCCTGAAGGTCAGCATTGCTGGCGGGGTGGGGGGG